GAAGGATTCTCACATCCCCACAGAAGTTGTCAAGGATCTTTAATCCCCAAGCAGTCAGCAAGGATTTCTCATCCTCAGCAATCAAAGATTTTGAATCTCCAGCAGCGGTCAATGATTTATTTTCCCCGGCAGCAGTCAAGGATTTCATTATCCCCAGCCCAAGGATTTATTTTCCTCAGCAAGACAGTAAATCAGCTTACATGCGCATACATTACATCCATGTATCATAAGCATTGATAAAACACATTTATTGCATCATACATTTCATACAACATAACTTTGTGTTTCAGCTAATATTTTACCCTTTTCAGGATAAGATTAACAGCTATCTTTAACAGATATTCAAAGATATCAGATACAGTACGGATATACTCCAGACACGGAAGTCATTTTGTTACTCATTCGGATCTCTTATTCAGATACAGTACGAATACACTCCAAACACGGAAGTCATTCTGTTACTCATTCAGAATTCCAAGTCAAGATACAGTACGGATACGCACATGACACGAATGCCATTCTATTACTCATTCAGAATTCCAAGTCAAGATACAGTACGGATACGCTCCAGACACGGATGCCATTCTATCACTCATTCGGACTTCAACAATCAGATACAGATTAGATATGCTCCAGACACAGAAGCCATTCTATTTCTCATTCAGATTCAACTACCAATTTCAAGTCCAGATACACTCCAGACACAGAAGTCATTATGTTACTTATTCAGATCCTAGTTACAGTACGGATACACTCCAGACACGGAAGTCATTCTGCTACTCATACAGATCTCAACTTCAGATACAGTCCAGATACTCTCCAGACACAGTTGCCATTCTGTCACTTATTCTGACTTTTTCCCCCAGCTCAGAGATGCTTCAGACACAGATGCTATTATGTCGCTTATTCAGATTTCAGATTCAGATACAATACAAATACACTCCAGACACGAATGCTATTCTGTCGCTTATTCAGATTTCAGATTCATATACAATACAAATACACTCCAGACACAAGTCATTCTGTTATTCATTCCGATTTAAATACAGTTACAGCTCAGATACGCTCCAGACACGGATGTTATTCCCTTGCTCATACAGATCCAATCTCCAAATACAACTCAAATACATTCCAGATACGGATACCATTATGATGTTCATTCTCCTGATTTTCAACAAACACTCTTGGATGGCATCTTCAAGCCCATCTCCGACAAGATTCTGTCACCTCTCCAAATGGCATCTTTAAGCCCATTCCCTCAACTACAATTTGACGAGTGCAAATTTACGGGCACTTTAATGTCCAATCATCTTTTATCTTCGAGTCACGAACGAAAAACTCGCCAATCTAACTCCTCAGGTTCAAGAATATTGAACAGGGGCAGCTGTTGTACCCCAAAATTTTCCCTCATTTTATCAAGATTTCCCCTCACAAAACTCTTTTGACTCCAGACAGAACTAGGGTTTGCTCAGCTCAAGACATCTCCTTGCACTGATGACCTGAAATTAAGGTTTGAATTTGCACAGGGATTTTTGAACTTTCAATGCCTAATGTGACTTTTGTTGTACCCCAAAATTTGCCCTCCCAAATTCCTCAAGATTTCTCAAAGGTTGCACAGTCAAATCACCTCCTAAGGCAGTCAAGTCAAAATTAGGGTTTTGTGTTGCATCAAGGTCCTTACATCCAAATGACCTCAAGTGCTCCTTAATGTCCTAACTTATGCTCAAATTCAGGTTCGGCTCAAGAGTCAATTCTTTAAAGAAGGTATCCGACTGTGTGAGTTTTCTCGAAGAAATATGGTGAAAAAAGTGTGCTGAAAGTGCAGTTTTTACACGCTAAAAAATTCATAACTTGAAGATCGTGGCTCGTTTTGAACCCGTTCCGGTGGCCAAAATTCCGTCTTAACATTATCTATGTTTTCATCTCTCACGGCTGGAAGCCAATTTCGATCAGAAGGTCTTCAAAAATGTGGATTTATCAAGTATTTTCGTACAGAAAATTTGTGACAGAAGTTTATTTGCGTCATGTTCAGAAAATCATAACTTGGTCGATTTTCATCGTATCGAGCTGGTTCCGGCGCCAAAATTTCACAAATTGAGTTGACTACATTTTCACAGAAGGTATTGAGTTCAAACGGTATTCAAAAGGCCTTCGTTTTTTGCTCAGAGTGCGTGACACGCTGAAAATCCTGAATGCTGAATATTATTTCATCTGAGCCGAAACTTCGAAACTTCATAACTCGGTCAATTTTTATCGGATTGGACTCATATTTTTACACAAGGTCACTGACTCATAGATCTACAACTTTGCTTCAAAAGTCGAGACCAAATTATGCACCGATCAATACCAGTTTTTTATTGAAGAACGTGTCAGAGTCGACACTGGAGCCCAAAATAAGTTTGTCTGAGCTGAAACTTCAAAAATTCATAACTAATTCACCGTTTATCCGATTGAACCGATTTTCGGACAGGAGTTAGTTCTCGATGCCGGCTATATTTTGTTTTCACATTTCAACTTCAAAAATTGCACTTAAGTCCCTGCGATTTAGCCTGGAAAGTGACGAACTCAAGTGAACATTGGAGGCTCAATTGCACATTCAAAGCCCATTTTCTTTACCCTAATTTCCATTATATAATCACATTCTTTTCACACAAACCAGAGGGGAGGAAAAGAGAGAAAAAACCTTGCCACAACACTGTTAGAATATCAAATTCTTTCAAGAACCCTAAAACCTTGAAATCCTTATTAGACCATTTACAATGGTTGAAAAACTCAACACCCACTTTTTCAACTCCCAACACTCCACATCATTTTCTCTTTCTTCCACCTAATAACTCAACACCCATTCAACTTTTACCCTCTCCAATGGTTTTTCACTCAACACCCTACCCCACCACTTTTTATTTTCATATTCTTATTTAAATTTTATTTTTATTTTTATGATTACATAAAATTACAATTATCGATTAAAATTAAATTAAAATAATAAATACTTAATAATTTATTTTTTTAATTTTTTGTAATAAATACAAAATTTATTTAAATAATTGGATACGATACAAATCATCTTAAATTAATTTAAAATACAACACACAATTAACGTAATTAGTACGTTACAAATAATTTAAAATGCAATACAACACACAAGTAACGTAATTAGTACGATACAAATAATTTAAAATGCAATACAACACACAAATAATTCAATCACGGAACATTCCAAACTTTGTCCATATGTGCTTCACTAGATCGGCTTGCAATTCTTTATGAACATTTGGATCACGGAACTCTGATCTAGCACGCACATGATTTGCAAAAGCGGGTAACACCTCGGTCGAGTATGGTTGTGGTGCACTAGATCCACTTTCCCCAGATTGCTCAAAATCGGTCCAACATTGAGAATATGAATCTCGTTCATCCTCAACAATCATATTATGTAATATGATGCATGACCTCATGATGATACCCAAATCAGCTATGTCCCACAAGCGAGCTGGTTCACGGATGATTTTAAATCGAGCTTGGAGCACTCCAAATGCACGTTCGATGTCCTTCCGACATCCCTCCTGAAATTTTGCAAATAATTTATCGGGTTCACTTTGAGGAAGTCTAATCGATTTGACGAAAGTTGGATAAGAAGGGTAGATACCATCAGCTAGATAGTATGCCATATTATATGGACGTTGATTCACAAAGAAATTCACACTTGGAGCCTTTCCCTGTTCCACGTCATCAAACACTGGTGACCGGTCTAGAACGTTTATATCGTTCAACGTTCCCGGACATCCAAAAAAGGCATGCCAGATCCATAGGTCATGAGATGCAACTGCTTCAAGAATAACTGTGGTGGTTTCCTTATCCCCTCTAGTAAATTGTCCTTCCCATGCTTTAGGACAATTTTTCCACTCCCAGTGCATGCAGTCAATACTCCCAATCATCCCTGGGAACCCCCGCATTTCACTAACATGCAGTATTCTTTGCAGGTCATCTTGGGTTGGTGCTCTCAGATACACTTGCTCGTACAAGCGTATGATTCCTTTACAGAATCTACGTAAGCACTCCAATGCTGTAGTACCTCCTATTTTGATGTACTCATCGACCGCATCTGCTGCCACACCATATGCTAACATTCGCATTGCTGTGGTACATTTTGCTAAGGGTGATATACCTTCTTTATTGGCTGCATCAACTCGCTGGGTGAAGTAGTTATCACTACTTGAAAGGTCCCCAACGATTCGAAGGAAAACATTTTTTTTCATCCGGTACCGACGACGAAACATTGCATCGTCATATGTAGGCTCATTGGCAAAGTAGTCGTCAATTAGTCTTTGGTTTGCCGCTGCATGATCTCTATTGAGATATTTTCTACTACGAGGTGCATTATCTTCCGATATTTTATTTCTACGCTCTCTAAATCGATTGACTATATAATTTTCTTCAATTTCACGATTTTGATTGTAGGCTGCGATATCAAAATGATATTGTGATGGATCCATTTTTTTGTGATATTGGAGGTAGATTGGATGGGATTTGGGATATTGGTACATAAATGGATGTATGAGTCCCTATATATAAATGGATGTGGGTGGTGGACCACTGACGGATTCAAAATAATTTATTGTATATAGTTAATTATCAGATAAGGAATAGATTCGAATTGGGTGGTGGACCACTGACGGATTCGAAATAATTTATTGTATAGAGTTAATTATCAGATAAGGAATAGATTCAAATTGGGTGGTGGACCACTGACGGATTCGAAATAATTTATTGTATAGAGTTAATTATCAGATAAGGAATAATTAAAGCAAACACTACACTGGCATATTGAAACAACAATAATTAAAGCAAACACTACACTGGCATATTGAAACAACAATAATTAAAGCAAACACTACACTGGCATATTGAAACAACAATAATTAAAGCAAACACAACACTGGCATATTGAAACAACAATAATTAAAGCAAACACAACACTGACAAATACTTCATTGAAATTAATTATCAAACAGTTCTGCCTCCAACTTTTTCAACAGCTGGTTCTTCCGGTCATCTAGATGCTCTTCGGAAGTTAGCTTTAGATACATCTTCATTTTCTTGGTTTTAGTCTTTTCCAAGGCTATATTGTTAGCCTGCTGTTGCATCAAGGCTATGTTGTCCAATTGTTCAAGCTCTTTCGTCTTGAATTCTTTGTATTCAGCCCATTCTTTGTCCACCACCTCCGAGGCATATTCCTTGCTTTTCTTTTTACCCTTTTTTTTAGCTGCCTCCCTTCCTATAGGACGAGCACTGGATTCTACAGTGTTTGAGCCACATGCATCACTCTCGCGAGATCTCTTAGATCCACTACTTCCTGAGCCAATATTTCCTCCTACTTGACTACCATAACGTGGTTGATCACGGAGATCGTGCCATTCTTCCATTAAAGTGAATCTAACATTCTTCCCACATGCATATAATTCCTACGCTTTTGCCAAAACATCATTCTCCGACCAACCACTTCCTTGCATACGCTTAGTGCCATCATAAGCGCCAATCCATTTACCCAACACTTTGTTCATATAATTAAAGCGGTTTCGGCATGCAGGTCCATCACGCGGAGGATCGAATGAGCAATGCTCATTACAATACTCAGCAATTTTACCCCAATATGTTTCACCTTTCTGGTTTCTCCCGACAACACTGCTTGTTCCAAATTTAATCCACCCACTAATTAGCACCAAATTTTGTTCAGTGTTCCATGCTGGTTGCTGAGTTTTCCTGCTCTTAGGAGTTGAATCCTCTGAATTCGGACCGACTTCATTAGAAACTATCATGCCACAAATAGTTAGTTGTGTTGAAAACTCAGGAAATTCAGGTACACCACCACTTGGAAAATTTGCATTCGCCATTGTCACATAACCATTAAACGGGGGTGTTTGAGATGGATTTCTCGGCATAGATCCATAATATGTTTGAAAGTTTGGAACAGAGGATGTCTGGTTGAAATTTGGTGGAAAACCAAAATTAGGTATGTTTTGAGGATGTTGGTTGGAAAATTGATTTGGATTTTGATAATAGTTGGGATTTTGATAATTGTTGGGATTTGGAAAATTGTTGGGATTTTGGTTAAATGGAAAATTAGCAGAATTTTGAGTGTTAAAATGATTATTGGGATCCATTTCACTAAAAAAAGACACTTAACTTCAAAATAAACACTAATAATAAAATTAAGATAGTGAAAAACTTAGTTTTTTTTTCTGTGTCCAAATCAAATGAACCAAGTCTCTATTTATAGAGAGAAAAAAATCATGAATTTTGGTTAAAAAAAAATTTAATTAATTTGCAACGAAATAATTGAGTTCAAAGTATTAAATGGATAAAAATCTGGTCAGCCAACCAGCCGCTGCCATGTCAGCCCATGCGTCAGTGTACATGGTGTTGAGTTTTCTCAACATCTCTCTCCTCCAACACACACTCAACACTACTCTAAACACACCATTGCACATGATTTTGCCATGTTGAGTTCAATTAAACACACCATTGCACATGGTCTTACAAATCCCTCTCTCACTACAAACAAGCCATCACAGTTATAAACCAACACCTCACTACTTCTTCAGTAAGGATAAGGCTGGATTGATCTCCATGATCCAAAGGGCATAAAAGCATTCAGGTCACTAATTTTCCAGTAAGGGATCCCATGCAGGTTCATTAAGGAACGTTGAGGCCAGAACACAAATGGCCAAAAGCCAAATGGCCAAAAAAGAACAACTTATGCATGACACCAATACATGGCGAGACAGACATCCTGAGAATATTAATGAACATTGAGGCCAGAACACAAATGACCAAAAGCCAAAAGCCAAAAGCCAAATGGCCAAAAAAGAACAACTTATGCATGAAACCCAATCCAATGACCAAAGAATGCAGACCACGGTACTCAGGAGTCAATGAACACGCACGTGATGCCAGAAAGTCAAACAAGGCTTTTTGTCTAATGGGCCAAATTACTTCCAAAAAACCTCCCTTTGGGTCTGAATACCCCCATGGTTTGCACATTTTAATTTTTATTTGATTTTCTTTCTTAATTCTATTAATTGTTTTAATTATTTCTCTTCACCATAAAATAAATTTCACAATAAAAAATCAGAAACTAAAAATGTTTATTTTTTTTAATTATATTTAATTCCACCATTATTATTTTTGTAAATAAACCTTAATAAATTTAGTTAAATTAGGTTTTAAAACTTAAATCTTTTTCTTAACAAATTAAAATATGTAGAAATTAGGTTTTTTTTTGCATTTTTATCCTTTTTCTTAATAAATAATTTTTTCCTTATTATCATTATTATTAATTACTAATTTATTTTGTAAATAAACATGTACATAAATTCTTTAGTAAATTAGGTTAGAACTTTAATCTTTTTTTCTTAATAAATTAAAATATGTAGAATTAGGGTTTCTTTTAATTTTTAATTTTTCTTTATTTCATAAAACACCAAAAAAACTAAAAAAAACATTTCTTTCCTTTTCATTAAATAATTAATTAATTTTTAATTTAATTTAAATTTCAAAAGGGTCCAACGCCCTCGAACGTTCTATTTCCATTCTTTTCGCACGTTATTTTATTTTTCTTTTGTGAATATTATGTAATTGCTCAAGCCATGTAATAGTAATTAGGAATTTATTTACTTTCCGCATCTTTACCAAAAACGGGTCTTTGTATTTTGGCGACGTATAGACCCGCGCCTTGTAATAGCGTAGGATTTATCTTTCCGCATTTAAATTTCCGCACTTTTAAACTGCTAAACTTTGCATGAAAGAATGAATGACTAATTAAAAAACAATGCGTAGATCACCACAAATGCATGATCAAAGACAAATATTAACATGAAAATAACACACAAATTCACACACCACTCTTAGGGTACGCCTCACTGTTGCCTTGCCCTCGAAACGTGGTCGTCGAGTATAGGACGTTTTAGTAAGTCACTACGCCAAAAACTGCTTTTTGCAGCGCCTCTACTAAAGCGCTTATTGAAAAAGCGCTGCCATAGCCTTCACAAAAAACAAAATTAAAAAAAAGGGAAACCTACGAAGGCGCTTTTTTAAAAGCGCTGGCATAGGGTTCCCTACGAAAGCGCTTTTCAGAAAGCGCTTTCATAGGTATTTGAAATATCTAACCTACGAAAGCGCTTTTGAAAAGCGCTCTTATAGGGAACCCTATGCCAGCGCTTTTGAAAAGCGCTTTGAAAGGGGGACCTATGAAAGCGCTTTTTACCTCAGAAGCGCTCTTATAGGGAACCCTATGCCAGCGCTTTTTAAAAGCGCTTTCGTAGGTTGTTTTTATAATAAAATTAAAAATCCCTAAATCTGTTCTTTAGTCTTCTCCATTTCTTTCGTTCAGATCTTCTTCAATTCTTCGTTCGTCTTAAGCTTCCTCATTTCTGCCGTCGCCGCCGTTCGTTCCTTCCTCTTCAGTCGTCGCCGCCGCCGGTCATTCCGTCTTCTCCACCTTGGTAAGATTCTGAATCAATATAGTGTAGGAATGGTTCAAGCTTAGCATTTTCCTTCTTCAAGCTTAGTATTACTCATTTACAAAACATTTTTCATCTTTAACAGTTGTTACTATATTATATATTACTTCTATGATAATCTCGTTTCTTTTTTCTGTGTTTGAAATTGATTCTCTGTGATGTGTTCTTCTAATATTCATTGAGGTTAAATTAGTGAGCTACTGACATACTCATTGTACCTTGCATGTTAAACTAATGAGTAACTATTGCCATATTGTCTAACCAATAGTGTCCGAACCTTGGATGATTCAATATAGAGGACAAAACTCATTAATAATAAGCTGCAAGTTTTGGAGAATTTGTTTTTAATATTGATCTATAAGTCTTTCAAAGAATCAATCATGAATAAAATGTCTGAATTGAAATAGAGAATAAAACATTTTTAACAAATACTTTGTTCATGTTTCCTAAGGATGAAGCCCATTTCCTTTAGGTGGGGACCTTTGACCATACCCTTGTCATCCTAACCCTTATTCCTTCAATGGTTGGAGGAAATAAGCCTTTTAAATACTTTAGGATGTCCCAAATATCTAAGATGGACTGGATTAGAGATGGTGACCATAAAACAATTATCTTTCATTATAGCATCAGGTATAGGAATAACATCAGTAGAATTAGCGCCATTAACAATAGTGGAGGAGATTGGTTAACTGATCCTGGAGAAGTCATTAAGGAGTTCACCATGTACTATGAAGATCTACTTGGTACCCCTATAGAAAACAAATTGAAAGCCTGTAAGTCCATTATTAATCAGGGGGAATTTTTTCCAGAGAGCAGCAGGATTGGTTGATTAGGGATTATAATGAGCTTGATGTTAAAAATATGTCTTTAGTATCCCTGGCAAGAAGGCCCCTGGCCCTGATGGTTATAGTAGCTACTTTCTGCAGGACAATTGAGAGATTATTGGTGCAGATGTGAGTAAGGCTATTCTTTCCTTCCTTAATTCTGGAAACTTGATGAAAGAGATTAATACCACAACCCTCACCCTTGTTCCTAAGGTAAAGTACCCTGCCTTGGTGATTGATTATAGACCTATAACATGTTGCAATGTTGTTTATAAAGTTTCTACAAAAATGATCTATAGTAGATTAAGAGATATTCTCCCAACCATTATAGCCCAAAATCAAGGAGGATTCATAAAAGAGAGATTTGTTGTGCACAACATTATGATCTTCCAGGATTTAGTCAAGCACTTTGGAAGGAAAATTGGAAAAGCTAAATGCTTGATAAAGCTTGATATAAGGAAGGCCTATGACACTATAGAGTGGGATTTCCTGGAGGAGATGCTCATAGGTCTCAATTTCCCTCAGAAACTTTGTTCTCTCATCATGCAGTGTGTCAAGACTCCTAAGTTCTCTCTCATGATCAATGGATTCTTACATGGCTTCTTCCATTCTAAGATAGGCTTAAGGAAAGGGGACCCGATGCCCCCTCTTCTATTTGTCATGTGTATGGAATAATTGTCGAGGATCATGAAGAAAGTTGGTAATATGAAAATATTTCAATTTTTTTAGAACTGTAAGAGTATGAACCTCAACCATCTTAGTTTTCCATATGATGTTCTGCTTTTCTATCATGGGGACTATGCCTCAATTTATACTATGTTGCAGGGTCTTCAATTATTTTCCAGGTCTTTAGGTTTCTATGCCAGCAAGGATAAAACTGAGATCTATTGTTATGGGATGAAGGATGTAGACATTAAAAGAAATATCTAACTTGACAGGTCTTCAGTACAAATGAAACGGTAGTGCTAACAGTGTCCTCAGTGTGTCATCAATAGTCTGGAACAAGGAAGTATACTTAATCTCCACCTCCAAAAAGATCTTGTGTTTCATCTAGATAGTTGAGAATTTTTTTTAATATTC